CTGCAACATGAGACCTGGAAGGCGGCATGTAGCCAGCAAGGCAGCGCGCTTCTTTCGAGCAGATCCATACATGCAAGAATGCAGCTCGTGCCACACGCCACGCGGGACAAGTGTTCTAAACCACGATGTTTGCCACATGAGGCTTGATGCCGGGTTCTCCACAATGCAAAGGATATCGTGTTCAAGACAGAACGTCCAAACCTTGGCGGCAAAGGCATACAAAAGATTTGCACTTTGTACTCGAGCATGAACCTCGGGACGCAAGGATGCCAACCCGTCTGGAAAAGCCGGGCTCCGTAAGGGTGCAGGTCCCTTAGCCGACCGTCCAAGAGGGATTTGCCGCGCAATCGAAGCAGTCCCACACGGGGGAGCAATCCACACGGCCTGAGCACGGCGCAACTCGACCCAAATGCGGTCCTGCTGCTCTGGGTCGCGCAAGTCCAAGCTGACGAAAGGTGCATTGGCATGCTTAGCGGTGGGTTTGTGATCAACTCCCAACACGCGGAACCCCAGCTTGCGCACCTCGGCCGAAAGGCCAGCAGAGCCACAGAACAACTCGATGAAGGAAGGTTGCGCAGTGGCCGTCACATCACGAGCCACGTTTGACCCACCGAGATCAGGATGATCCGCTGCGGCAGGCGCAGTCCCTGGGACGCTCACCTGAGGAGGCAGGGTGACAGGTGAAGCTGCAAGCGCCGCTGTTGGCGCCGGTGGCGGAAAAGGGAAAACCCCAGGGCTAGGGAGAACCGAAGAGGCAGACTCGGGACCGGCCGTTGAGTCAGGTCCCAAGGTTGGCAACTTAAACCCCAGGTTTGACAACTCAGTCAAGTCTGCACGACGCAAGTTTGCCCAGTTCCGTACACTAAATGCCACAAGAACCACGCGGGGCCCGCGAGACCACGGCATAACGCAGTGCGGCTGTTGGGCATCGAAGCTCAATGCACCATTGGCAAACTCGACAACGTTACCCATCCTTTGGCCCTGATGCGGAAGCGGGCACGGGACCTTGCCGCCCACCGTCTCGACCCAGAGGCCACCGTGGCTGAATTCAGAAACCTTCAGGATGGTATTCATCAGGCTGGGATCATTTCCGTGGTCTGAGTGGACCCGGGTCTCAAGATCACGAAACAAGGCCAGTGTAGTGTAGCAGGCGCCCGGCGCCATCGAACGCATAAACTCATTCAGAACCTTAGTGGACATCGGAAAGTCGCGGCAATGTTGGCGAAGGCCGTGCCGCTTGCCATGATCATAGGTGTAAGCACCTGTTGTGAAAGAAAATTCGGACCCACGGCCCACCTCACGCGAACCGCGCGACGGTGCCTCCGAGGGAAGCAGCTCCAAAAGACGACGAATGCCCCCCGCATCGACTTTGCCGATCAAGGTAGCAGCAAAAACTTCCGCATTCGTATCACGATCATTGCCAAAATGGCTGGTGGCCGTGTCATGCACATGTGTTGCATTGTGTACTTGGCCTGGGCTAGAGCGAACGGGCCCTAGTCACGACGACCTGTGGTGGGAGAAAACATGCGAGGCATCGAAGCATGCAGGGAAGCAGCACACATGCTCCCCTTTTGGGCAGGCCCCCGCAGCATTGGGACATTTCCCAAGGTTATGGTCGAAGCAGATGTTACGCCCGGCCCCGTCCTTGGGGACCCCACCGATGAGCGCCTTTGGCATGACGAAGCGAGTCTTCCGTGGCTTGCCAGGTCGCTCAGCCGCATTCGGCGATGCACCGGAATCAGCCTTCTGATTCTTATCGGCGCCCTGACCCCTATCCGTCGCCTTCGACGGATCCGTCTTTTTGGGCGGCTTGCGCGGTGGCTTGTCTGGCTTCTCATTAGCCTCACCAGCGCCCGAACTGCCCAAGGGACCGGACCCTTTTTGCCGAGGCATCAACATCCACTGGATGTGGGAGCCCGCCAGCACCCGAGACACCGGGATGTCAAGCGGCAAGGAGCCATCCGCCCCTGGCACAAGTCCAGCTCGGGTGAGCTCCCCCATGCGAACATGAACCTCCCTGTCCGCAGCCTGAAGTTGAGAGAAGGAGACGGGGTGAAACCCAGCCATGGGCTCACGTTGGTACTCCATGAACAGTCGGTCAATCAATTCCTCGTGCCTCTCGAACGACATGATGGCAGCAAGTTCATATGCCACCCCTCTGCGACGCAAGGCCTGCATCACCTCAAGGTCAGACTTAGTATCAGCAGTGATTTTAGCACCGGGATCCACTAGCTTGACGGATCCTGAGCGGCCACCCTGAAGCAGCTTCAAGCTAGCGTCCTCCTTCACAAGATTTATCTCCTGGGCACGACTAGTACACTTCGACCACTCAATGTAGCGCACCCGCTGATCCTCAAGCATTTGGGCTGACAGGTTGACAAGCGCATGCGAAGGCTCCAAGCGGTCCACAAGCCGGAGAGGCTTAATGCGCTTTTGCAACACATCATAACGAGCAGCGAGCTCTGCCGTCGGGACCTTGCGCGGTTGATCTGACTCCGTGGACTCGGCCGTCCGCTTCAGCTCAGCTGCTGTCAAAGCATATGCCTCGAAGTGGAGCCGCCTAAGTTTCGCCTGATGCTCCTCACCCCCATCACCGAGGATTGGCTGGACAACGGAGGTTTTGAAGACATCATCGGGAATCCTTCCGGGCTCCCCTGGCACGCAGAATGCAAAAGTGCCGAAAGTGGCCCAGCCCTTTCGTTTGAGCTTTCCCCGAGCATCCTCGGGCAGCCCCAGCTGAGTGCACTTTGACAAGAACACAGCCTCGCTATCGATGGCGGACATGTCTACACCCGCAAGACGCAACCTACGGAAAAATGTCACATGTGACACTAGACAAAAATTACAAAGCTATGTCATGCAAAGCACCTACACAGGGACATGTTCACCGTGCGTGGTCACCTGGATGCGCTCATGAGCGAAAAAAACTGCAAAACATGACAACATGCGACATGAAGTGTCAGCGTGAGCATCCTCAAGCAACATGCAGCACAGCCACATCGAACGTGAGATGGGAATCTTCGTTCATTCAAAGCAGCCTCAATGACTACCCACGACAAACTGCAGAACGCGCCCCGGTTCAATTTTCCTCAAAGGCCCGAGTCACTTGCTCCCCAGCACGAAGAGCACTTCTGCAAGATTATTGCCGGAGTTTCATCGAGCTCCTCATAATTACGGTTTGCAAAACGTCCACATCTGAAGACTGTCATCTCGCCCTCATCAGGAGGCTGGCCATCCCGAGCCGCGTGGACAACTCCACTCATACGATGCCTAAAACACTTGACAAAACTTCGGGCCTCAGCAGAAACGTTCAGATCCTCACCCAAGAAAAATGCGGAAGCAACGGCCTCATCAGCCTCGCCCTCCGTTCCGATACTCTCAGCAGCGGACTCAGGATCTGACTGATCCCCAGGTTTGATTTCCGGCGCGTCCGCCGGCGGTGGACGATCGTCTGGTGGGTCCGGCTGAACCCCAGACAGGAAACGGAGAGCCTCCTCAATGGGGCGAATGCCTCCTGTCCACCTTCCGGCCCTGGTCGAATCTGGAGCGAAAATGCCACCCTTGATAGCAATGAACATGCCCTCAAGAAAATGCAACGATGGTGCCATCGAATCCCGAGAGTACTCAAGAGTGGAAGAATTCGCAGACCTGATATGATATCCCGCAATGGACCTGAGGTTCTCAGACGCAGCTGCCTTTGCCATGAAGCTCAGAAGCGTAGCCTTAAGGCTGTGCGTGGCAACCTCACCCCACGGAAAAGAATTCCCACAAGGCGCACACTCCTTTAGGATCTCCCTAAGCCATAGGGCCCCTAGCGGAAGGATCGAGGGGCAGCACGTCGAACCCCCCTTGGCACAATGGTCTCGGCATCATAGGGGTGCCACGGGAAGCAACAAGGTTAAGCCTTCGCCTGCGAGCTAGCCAAGCCTCAGCCCAGTTTCCCTCGGCCAAACCTGGAGTAACACAAGCGACTGGCAAAAGCCTATGCCGGGCAAGCGACCCACGATTGGCAGTCTTATGATGATACAACTGAGCATTCAAGAAACCCTTTCCTTCATGCAAGTCAAGCACCGGCTCAGCCTCGGTATGTTGGGCATCGCTCCAACGCAGCCGGCCGTGAAGACAGTACAAGGCGAAGCCAGCAAGCACTGCAGCTAAATCATTAGGTGAGCTGATCACGCACTCTTCCAGGCCACGGACCTGGGCCACTGTAAGCGGCCGCTTCTTGCGCACCACAACGGTCTGGGATTGAGGATTTGCGGCCCCCTGAACCCTAGCAGATAAAGCAACCTCGCTTACGTCTGCCCCGAGCAGTGCCCCGGAGAAGTTAACCGCTTCTCGAAACCTGGACGCCCTTGACCGGGGTGCCCCCTCGGTCCTAAGGAAGCACAAGTAAAGGTATGCATCAGACTCATCAAGAGGAAACACTGCAGGGTCAAGTCCGACCGATGCCCGCCACCTGGAAAACTGGGCCAGGCTGGATGCCCTCGACCTGAGGGTCGAAGTTGACTTTGCCGAGAACACATCACGGAGGCACTGATCAACCAAGGCGGCTGGGGAACCCTCGCTCTGCATCTTAACAAGATCCCGGCCTACCTTAGTCCCTCGTCCTGAAGTCAGTACAATGAGCTTCCACATCTCAAGCACCGAGGTCCTCTTATCGTCCTCGACATCCGCCCAGGCACGAGAATGCACGACCGAAGACTTCCAAGGTTCCTTAGACGCCCTAACTCGTTGAGCCGTTTCCCTCACCTGTGGCTGGTCCCCAACCTGCTCGGCCACCAATGGTACGAGTGGCGCAGAAAGGAAACGCCTTGCCCCCAACACAGCCGCTAGCGAACCTGACTCCCAAGGAAGCGGCATGTCGATAGCAGCCGCGCTCAAGACAGACATGGCATGGTGCACTGAAGGCTGATAGGGTGCCCTAGCAAACCTAATCCTAGCCCGAAACCAGTCCCCCATCCTAAACCCTACGGGCGGAGGAGTATCTGAGTCCAATGCGCGATTCATGGCCGCATGGGCCTGTGAAGGATCCATGGCTCAGGGGAAACCCTGAGCAAGCAGCAACGCATGCACCGGCGGACAGTCCGAAACTTTGCACTGGAGACCCCGTCACGCGCGGGCTCCAAGGAACCTTCGCTGCCCATGCACGCACTGGCGGGCTAGACCCAACACCGAGTTTAGCACCTGAGGCCTGCTAGAATGTCAAGGGGACATGGAGGCCTCAAAATTTTTCACATGTGAGCTCCGCATCGGAGCCAAAACCTTCAGTGGAGCATTGGTCCATCAGACAACAATTTAAGTGTCTAAGCATTGAAAAGTAGTCGACACATTTAAAAGCGATTCCGACTACAATTCAAAAATAAAGGACAGAATTCATGCGGCATGCCCAAATACATTTGTGCCCGGGAGCACCATGAGCCATTTCACAAAGGCGTGATCAAACGATTACAAAGAAAGGACGGTGAACATATCACCTGTTGGCAAAAGGATAAGAGGATATCACGAACGTGAGATTGTCTGCAAAATCACGGGCCACAAGCCTGGCTCGCCTGAGCCAATATGTGCAACCTGCAATGGTCTTACAGCGCCATGTTACCACAAAACGGGTGGTCAAGTGCTTGTGCTCTGGCAGGATCTGTGCACAGCGCTCAAGAGCAGGGATCCCAAGGAGACGATCAATCTCAAACTGCATTGCAACTGCATCCACATGTGCAAGCTGCTCAGCGCTCAGCTCGGGCTCATGCTCACTCCAAGGGACCAACAAGCACTCAGGAATGTTTGACTCCGGCCGCGTGTCATCCTGGGCTCCATCGGCCTCCGCGGCATAATCAAAATCCTCTAAAATCTCACCCTCAAATTCAAAATCATTCTCCTCGTGATTGTGGTACATGTCGACACCTTCAAACGTCACAGCATCAAGACGAAGCCGTTTGCGTGGCTCGTTTGCACTCGGCTCAGCAGACCTGGTAGGCACACGTACAGCCGCTGGCTCAGGCGAAGAAGCAGGATCGGACGATCCCGTGGCACGATCAGCATTTGGCGCCTCGGCTAACACCTCGGCGTCCGGCACTACAGCCAGAGGCGAGCTCACAACCTCTGCATCGGAAGGTGCTGGTGGCAATGGCGTGACAGGTCCAGTGTCCTCCTGCATGGGCGTCGGTGGCTCTGGCACAAAATCACTTCTGATGGCCGGCGGTGGCACAAGTTCACTCAGCGGTGCATTGTCAGGAAGAACATAGCCGGGATATGGAAGTGGATCCGCACCGGCCGGGGCACTCTCATCTGGCTGTGGCTCTTGGGGTGCTTGTTGTGCATCACGTGTTTTCTGCGGCCTGCACTGTCCAACTTGGCCCGCAAGAAAAGCAGCCTGGGAATAGGGATGATCACGCAGGCGCTCTGCAAAATCAGCACTCCTCAAGTAAGTTTGCGGTAAGCGACGAATCGACCTGCAAGCAAGAAAATGTCCCGAAGCAGTGAAGACTATGTGGCCGTCGCTACACCCAAGTTTTCCCAACCACAAACCTACGCCCCATCGGGGCTGCCCTTTCACAGCACTTTTCACTCTTCCATAAGCTGTCTCACCAATGCACACAAGCTTGCCCTGATAGGGTCGCCCACATGCCAGCTCGAACGGGGTCTGGCCTTGCGATCTGGTGAACCTCTGCTGAATGAAGCTTGCATGCCGCCATGCCCACGCGTGCATTGCATCCAACGATGCCACCTTGACACCTGCACGGGACTCGAACTCAGAAAGCAACGTGTTGGTCAGCTGTCGAAGGGTCTCGACCGCAGGTTCGGCCGCATTGGCCGCATGATCATCAGGGAGTTGTTTCGAATCAGCAGACAAGCCAACTACGATAGTTGGCTGAATATACCCCAAATGATAAATGGGGAAAATCAGAAATATATATCACCGTCACAAATATAAAAGCTCATCACTCAACGATGCACATGTAGCAACCGAAGAAGCAGGACTACCGCGCTCGACCAATGTTTTAACAGCGAAGCTCGCCGGTAAAGGTTGTGTGAAAAGAGGAGGCCACCGCAAGGAGATACACACCTTGCAAATGAAGTTGCATTTCGCAAACCTCAATCTGCCCCTCTTCGAAGAATGACGGAATGCTACTTCCAAGGATCTCTGGTCGACAGCTTGGTAGCCTTTGAGCTCTGTGAAGGATTCTTCTGGTGCGGAGCCCCTCGCTTACGTGATCTCCACTCCGCGATATCTTGATAAAGCGAAGTTCCCAGTTCAAGCATCTCCTTCATGATCACAGCTTTGTAATCCTTGAAAGAGAAACGAAGCCTGACCGAAGGATCGAAGTTCTTGAAATCCTGATTTGTTAAGGCATCGGCCAAAGCGTTTTGCAACCTCGGCGCCCAATGAAGCTCGAGCGACAAAGAGCGCCCTTGAAGAACCGTCGCCAATTCCATGAGCACTGCCACCAGTGGGAAAGAAGTCGTCAGCCAGCGAGCCGTGAGCAAACTATTGCCCCGGTTGTCCGTCGCAGCACTGCAAATGAAACTCGCCTTCGTGTTAGGCGGAGCTTCAAATAAGATCACTCCCACCAAAGTCGCAAGTAACTCGAGCGAAGCTATGGCACGATAGGATTGGCCTGCCATGTGAAACCATGGGGCATCCACATGTGAAATCTTCTCGGCGAACCACTGGCACTTACGTGGATCTGTGGACTGTCCTGACGCCCATCCTCCGATCCACATCTGATCTCCCTCAGCTTTTGCATCCGTGCAGAATAGCTCCACGGTTGCACGCCCCTTCCGAGGCACATGAGCTGTGCGAAGATCCTTCAAGAAGAAAAGCTCGAGAAACGAAAGAATCAAAACGACCGCCTTCGGAAGTTTCAAAACATGACAATGCCTCACAGCAGCTACCCAAGCGTACAACGGGCCTAGGAAAGGACGTAGCAGAGGCAACACCGTTAGGCCGAAAGAAAGCCTCCCGACCACAGCTCCCATGTCAGCAACGTTCACGAAGCCATCAGCCTTGACTTTTCGTATCCAGCATATCATCCAATCCGAACGTGACTTGGAAATGCCCAGAAGCCTCTGATGTGCTGAAATGGAAAAGCCAATCCAGCCATGCTCCGCTCCACCTCTGAACTTGTGCCAGGCGAAAGGAACACCCAGAATCTCCAGAAGGAAGATCGAAGCCAAGATTCGGGGCAAGCCTTGAGCAGATTGCGTAGGCCAGAGCAAGTCATCCACATAAGTTAACAGAGTGGTTGCGTCCTGACCATGACAATAGTAAAGAAGTCTCCCGAGGCCAGAGAACAAGCGATACCACCAGTAGGACGCACTGGAGATACCGAATGTACCAACCGTATTCAAGAAGACGCGATCCTTGTTACGGGCCCGGCAAGCTTGTCTGGCCCAGTCTGCCCTCCGCATAAGGACCAGCCGATGCGCACGGCTGATGTCCCCCGAAAGGGAGAAGAAAGCACTGGGGAGCTCCTCCAAGGCAGTGGCCAGGTCCCCCCCGGTAGGAGAACTTTGAGCATCACGGACCTTGATGCGATCATTCACATGTTGCCCATGGGTCCCATCATGGACCACCCTTACCGAGTCGTCGGCTTTATTGGGTATGGCACCAAGAGATGCCACTGAAAGCGTGTCGCCGAACTCAGCACGAGCCTCCTCCACCGACATCTCCACCATAGCGCCCAACGAAACCTCCTTGGCAAACTGCTCTTCGATCTTCTCCTCATGACCGCGGGCAGAAGGATAATTGGCGCGGAGCTCCTCCGAAAGTAGATCCTCAGCACCTTCGAAAGTTCTGTGCTTCGTCTTTCTGAAGAAGAGGGCAGGGGTCCGGGGGAGCCTAGCATCGACTCCCAGCGGGACGCCCGCAGCGAATGAGCAGGAAGATTTTGTGTATTTTCTCCAATCCGGATCCCCTGCCAACCTGAGTAACTCCCCGATGGCCTCCAAGTAAAATGGCTGCCGCTCCGGCACGTGGTCCAATGCTTCACAAGTCCCAGCACCACGTAGCTTGCTGAAGACGAAATCGCGACCGGCTTTCAGCAAATCCGGATGAAAGGGGGAGCATGTGGCTCGACCAGTCGCCAGCTTGCAGATTTCCCGCTTCACATCCAGAGAGTCAGTCAGCAGCTTGAGCAAGCCATCCATGAGCCCCTTGTGTAGTGAGAGATCAAGATCACTGTCTCCCGTGGGCCTCCGATCAGGGGGCCAGCGGCCGGGCGACGCCAATCCGTGTCCATCGGCGAACCACCTCGAGCGACCCATGAGCTTGGTCTTAAGCGGCGGGCCCCAGCCTAGCTTGCCCGTGCCATAGCCGGGCTTCGCCAGTCCGTCCTCATCTTCCTCCGAGGTACTGCCGGCCTCCCCGTCCGATGCCACGTCATCGTCGAACTTGTCCTTAGGAAGATCACCCCAGAGGTCCTTCGCCCCCGGAGCATCATCGTTATCTTCCAGGACCCTCTCAAGCGGAGGCCGGTCCGTAGCTGAGACTTGCGCAGGCGTGCGAAATCCCAGCGAAAGCAGAAAATCCAAGTCCTGAGCAGCCATGTTCTCACCCAGATACGGCGTGTAGGCAACGAGCACAGTTCTGCAGCCTTTCCACTCCATAGTGCAATGGAGACGTGGGGGGCGTCAAACACAGCGAAGGTGCCGGCTGTGGGAAGCACATCTCCAAGTTCCGAAAAGGCATCGAACGGACAAGGAACCGAACCCGAATCCGAAGAAACCCAAACCCCACCCCCTCTAAAACCAGAGAGACCTGCAACAAGGTTGCAGGTACCTTGTTGATTTCCCAGGTCCCGGTGGGGAAGGGTGCGGAGATTTCGAAAGAGAGCAACCGCCATAAACTGAAAACCTTGCTTAAGCGAGTCCACGAAACGACAAAGGGCCTTTGTCACTTCAGGGAATTGCCTTGTAGCTTTCCGCACTCCCAAGAGGCCACCGCCGACCGCGTAAGAACCAACTGTAAAGGCCTTGGAACCTTCCTGTAGTTCTCCCCTCGAAGGGTTGTCGGAGGGCAGCAGGTCGAAGAGTCGCAA